GATGGGCGGGGGATGGTTGGGTCATAACTGGTAGTGGATGGGCTCAGTGTCTGGCTAGTTGTTTCTGGCACGCGGTCTGACTATAACTCTCACCGCCCCGTCTTTTAGGTGTGCCTTACGCTCACCGCCAAGCGTATGGCCCGCAAAAACTGCCTGGTGAAGAACTTGGAGGCCGTGGAAACTCTCGGATCTACCTCTACCATCTGCTCTGACAAGACCGGAACCCTCACCCAGAACCGGATGACTGTGGCGCACATGTGGTTCGACAACCAGATTCATGAGGCCGACACCACAGAGAATCAGAGCGGTGAGTTTCGTAGGAGTGGGTTAATGACGGAACCAGGCTTGGTTGCGCTCGGCACCGTTCAGTCCGGTCATTTCATACTGCAATCTCTCTCTCTTTTGGCTGCAGGTGCCTCCTTCGACAAAAGCTCTCCAACCTGGACCGCACTGTCCCGTGTCGCTGGGCTGTGTAACCGAGCCGTGTTCCAGGCCGGTCAGGAGAACACTCCTATTCTGAAGGTGAGGAACTCAAGCCATGCCTTATGTCTGAGATGAGGTTCTGGTTTCCCCCCCCCGATCATTTGTAGTTTGGCCAATCAAGTGGGGGGGGGGGGGTCTCCTCAAGGTGTACGGCTCGTGGTGTTGGTCCCCTCTTTTCGATAGTTTAGACAATATAGGGCCTTGGCGTATACACTGAAGAGGAAGGTAAGTAAGGCCCATGGTTGGTTGGTGTCGGTAATGATGACCTCCAGCATTGGTGTCGATGGCATTACCACTCCGTTGGTCAGTGGCAATGACTTTTAGACCCCCCTGCATTGCTGGTCAGTGGTTTCTTCAGCACCCAGTGCTATGTCAGTGGCCCTCTCCAGGATGACGTCAGGCTGTGACTACAGTCCTCCTATCAGATGAAGATCACACAGAGAATGTTCTAGCACCTAATGCAACTCCTCTTCCCTTCCAAGCGTCCTGGGTTCTGCTAAACGGCTCGCGCTATAGAATGGGGCCCCAAGTCATGGGGTTGTCTCTCCAGAATCTGGGGCACTTGCTCGCGGTGCTGGTAACCGGTAATAATTGGCAGTTTTATAGAAGGATGTCCTGTTGTTGGCCACATTGAGGCATGACCTGAAGATATGATGTCCTCCATGAGTGTATAACGCCTCCGCAGCTGACGGGGGAAGTGATGTCACGTTCACTTCAAACGTGAGCGATGTCCCGCTGTCCCCATCATTCAATGTTTTATTAGACCTTTTCTTATACCCGGTGTCTAGCCCGCTGTCATGTGACTTTCGGGGGGTTCAGTCGCTGACTATTACTCTTTGTCCCCGCAGAGAGATGTCGCCGGTGATGCCTCGGAGTCGGCCCTGCTGAAGTGTATTGAGCTGTGCTGCGGCTCCGTGAGGGACATGAGAGAGAAGAACCCCAAAATGGCGGAGATCCCCTTCAACTCCACCAATAAGTACCAGGTGAGTGGAGCCGTACGGACTGGTCATGTCCTGGTGGGATTGTATTCTGGTGTTGGGGTGAATTCAGTGTTCTTTGGAGCCACACAGAGCTGCTGAAATATTGCCCCTGGGCGCGGGCTCCTCCTATGCTGAGCGCGGGCTCTTCTCCCCCTGGATCTCTGCTGGGCGCGCAGTGTAACCTCAGGCCGTTCTGATGTGGTACTGCTCACCGGCCTTGCGAATTAGATGACGTTTGAATTGCTCCTTCTGTGACCCGATGGCCTAGCCCAGGTCTGTGGGCGGGATGGGGTGGGACTGGCAGGATGGGATGAGCTGAAACTGGTCCATTAATGGGGTGGGCTGGGACTGGTCCGTTGGCGGGATGGGCTGGGACTGGTCCGTTGGCGGGATGGGCTGGGACTGGTCCGTTGGCGGGATGGGCTGGGACTGGCCCCCTGGTCTGTTGGCGGGATGAGATGGACTGGCGGTGCAGTGGGCTTTACGCGTCTCTGTGGGGGTGGCTTAATCTCGTTAGTCCGCTTTCCCCCTTCACTTTCCAGACTAAGCTCCTTGCTTTTGGATTTAGTGCTCGGGGCTTGGGACATTCCTCAAGGCTTATCCTGTCCGGTAAAAGCCGGCGATCTGTGACTCTGTATGTGGCGTGTTGCGGTCACGTCTGACCATGGCGTGTTGCGGTCACGTCTGACCATGGCGTGTTGCGTCACGTCTGACCATGGCAGGCCCCTGGATGCACTATGACCTTTTTGCAGCAATTGTCGGGTTGCCTAATGCTTCCTCCGGTCCATGGGAGAAGTCTTCTAGAGATGACCACGCGCCTCTTTTTCTCTCCTTAGCTTTCCATACACAAGAACGCCAATCCTGCCGAGTCTTGTAACTTGCTGGTTATGAAGGGGGCCCCCGAGAGGATCCTGGACCGCTGCTCCACCATCTTGCTGCAGGGCAAAGAGCAGCCTCTGGATGAGGAACTGAAAGACTCCTTCCAGAACGCGTACCTGGAGCTGGGCGGACTGGGTGAACGAGTGCTCGGTGAGGGTCACGCCGGATGGAAGGGATGCCGTGGGGTTAACGCTGGAGTGGTGGTCTGACCAATCATCTTCCCTTTGCAGGCTTCTGTCACTGGCCTATGCCCGATGATCAATTCCCTGATGGCTTCCAGTTCGACACGGAGGAGGAGAACTTCCCCTCGGAGAATCTGTGCTTTGTTGGTCTGATCTCCATGATAGATCCCCCTCGTGCCGCTGTGCCCGATGCTGTTGGCAAATGCCGAAGTGCCGGCATCAAGGTGAGGAGCTGAATCTTAGAATGACACTTTATTTTATTGTAACTAGGAGGTCACTGAATGCTAAATGCAGGGGGAGGCGGCACCTGCAGGCACCCGTGTGGGGAGGCGGCACCTGCAGGCACCCGTGTGGGGAGGCGGCACCTGCAGGCACCCGTGTGGGGGGGGGGAGGTG